TAGGTTATACCTTGATGAGAATCGTTCCGTTGCATGCTAGATTATTCCTGCCTCGGCTTAGAGTGAGGAATTTCGAAAAACGTCATCAGCTGGTTTATTGGCGATTGAAATACATGCAGGTCAAACACTGATGATGACGTTTTTGGAAGAAGAGTTCTCCATTGTCCTGAGTTCAATGGATCGGTGAGAAGACTTCATTATCAATCATAACGTGACATGAATATTCAACATCCTGATTTCTTATCGATCTTAAAAAAGAGAATCAACATCCCAATATTTTCTCTCGATAACAGACGTCGAAAGCTAGAATGTTCTGTAACATGATAGTGCAAATCAGACCGATCAGTAGGATTGAGCACCTCGAGATGTGTCGAGTGTTTTATTGCAAGCTTCCTAACTAAACGAGTTACGAGAGCGTACGATTCAGGAAAATCGAGGCATTTATCAATCGATGTCATGAAGATAACAGAAAGTTCATTGGCAGATGAAGTAGAATTCGATCTAACGTCTACTTTAATTTTAGAGATGAAAACAGTGTTGTAGGGCTTCGGACTTGAGACCATTACCATTACTGTGAACGTCAGCCATATTCTCATCGCAAGCCTGCTCATTTCATTCTCATCAGAAATTATCGCCATGCCGTTGGTCAGCCTCCGGTCCGTCGTTAACTGGTGTGAGAGGCTGCAGTACACTTGGTAAGATTTGATCTTTCGATGTACAGTTACAAAGATCAAATACACTTATTTCGTTCGATCAGACGTATCACTTACCACTTCTCTTCAGTTGCCGACTGTCAAGAAAGCGCATCTCAAACGTCATCTCGCTTGTGCACTCATCTCATCGCTACTCTTTTGTGTCACTGGTAAGTGGGCACTCGCATCAGAGATGTCAACATAAGTGTAAAATCTCTCGCTGCGAGCTATACCTGACAATTGAAACATGAACGACGGAAGACTCTCCATTTGAGCGGGGCGTTTCTTGGCAAGATTCTGATTGTGCCTCGATTTTTCAGGTGCCGTGGCCGTTTTCTACGCAGCAAAATCACTACATTGCGAACGTCACGGATACTTTGAATAGGCATGGTTACATGTCCGTCGTTCCTTCGCCTGGTCAATGGCAACATTTGTCGTTGCTCTATTTATCTATTTGAGTATCGGTCTTGTCTTCTTCATTCGTAATATCGATCATCATTAATCAAAACAAAAAGTTTGACTGTTAATTTTTGTTTGTTTGTTTGTTTATTGTTGTTGCCGATTTTTGTCGAACAGACAAAGCATTGTGTACATTTTTATTTTTCATTTGCTCGGAAAAACAATATGGTATAATGTAATATAAAAGGGAAAAAACTGAACGCAGGTATATCGGAGATCAAAAATAATAATAACAAGAGCGGTTTATCACACTGTTCTCCAAATTGGAATCGTTTGTCTATTGAAGTGTCACTCGGAATGCTTGGATCTGCATCAGATTGAGCGTGATCATGGTATCTTTCAGTGATGTTTGTGCTAAGAAAGAGAAACGAGGTTTTTTTCTTTTGCAAGAGAGTCAAGTATCGCTTACTGGGCATATCCACATGGGACGATTCGTTATCACCAGTTAGCCAATCGAGTCGTTTGAGATCAGCTAATGCCAAATTAGCATCGAGTGTCAGTTCGAGTAGCTCACCAATGGTGCCTTGACTCTTGAATAACAGTTGAAGATCGAAGGTGACTCGGTGCGAATAGGTGGCATCTTCATTCAATTCAAAGTAGTGTTCGAGACGAACAAGAGATTGTTTCGGTCCCAACTGACCGAATGTCAGCAAGTGAACATTAATGAGCATGGGGTCCGAAAGTGCCGACCATGTTTGACGATAGGTACCCGATAGGTTGCAACCGAGTACATGTAGAGACGTTGAGAACCGATTCGATGAATGACAGCACTGTCCGCCGGTGGTTCGAGGATCAG